CCTCCAGCGTGTAGGGATCCCCCTTTGGATGAAGAATACTCTTTTGCGCTCACACCCTTACTTGCCAACGTTCTGAATGTGTACGCTTGCACTGTTGGTGCAAAAAGCTCTCCAGAGACTTGTTATTTCATGATGACTGTTTACCTTGCCATAACTTCATACTTTGACACTTTCAGCAGTGTCCTTTTTCTCTAAACACAAACTCACACCTCAAAGAAAGTTGTGCTGTTGTATCTACTGCTCCCCTCATTCAAATGCCCTGAGTAAGATGCATCTGGTTTGGTTTTAATGTTACCTTTAATTAGAGTTCCTGATGTTAGTGTCTACAATGACAGTTATTGCTAGACATTGGAAGGTATTTGCATTTACTTAAGGAAATATCCCTTGAGATTTTGATAAACCATTAGATATGAAAGTATCCCATTATGTGTCTCCTGATGTAGCAAGAACTTAAAACTTTAGCACCATAATGAAGCCCTTACCCCTATTCTACATTAAGCAATATCTTTTATCTTTTGTTTTCACTTGGCATAACATTACTGTCAGGTGAGAACTGCTGATCTCTCAGCCTGCCTGAGAAGCAGGGCCATAGAAGATTGCTAAATGCTGAGCTCTGTGCTAAGTGCTGAGCTCTGCGTGTTTTATCACTCGACTTCCTCTGTATCTCCTTTAATTCTGGCTATTTTATCTGGGACTGCTGATGTGGAAGTTCTGGTACCTGTCACAGAGAGAAGTGATCAGAACCTGATCTGCTGTGCGCCAGACACAAAAGATGCTTTTTCCAGACTCAATTCTCAATTGGGTTTGGAAATAAAAAATCCGGAGCATGCAGGCACTCAAAGTAGTCAATAGCTTACACAGCTTAGAGATACAAAAGGATATACATCAGATCCTGCAAATTTTGTTTTACTCTCTGAAATTAAGGAAAAATATCACCAAAAGCAGGAATCGTAAATAAATATTCATAGACCGGGATATCCATCCTGTGTAATGAGGGAAGGTCTTAAGAATTTCTGGTCTCTGCCTTCTAAACAATTATCCTGCCCACTCTGCAAGGGGCAAACTAAATCTCAGACTGAGTCCTGATACTTCTGAGTCTGCCTAACCCAGTTTAATTGTCTTTAGCCATCCAGTGCAATCAGTTTTCTCAGGTTAATCAAACTCAGGCTAAGATGCATCTTAAATAGTGTAAATCCATTTTTTCCCTCAGTTCATCAAATGCTGTGCCTAGACTGTGAAATACTGCATCCAAAATATTCAGGGACACTCCAGCACGAAGATCTGGCTGTGGTTTTGTTACATTGGCAAAGGCAGGGAAGACTACAGCGACTAAGCTACCTCACCTTATCTGCTGTCTGCTTTGCTTGCTCTTCTCTAGATTTCCTCTTCTTCCTCTACATAGCTGTAACTGGTCTTCATTAAATTAAGCTGTGAACAATGGCATTTCTCTGCTACGTACTGTAAAATCTGGAAGATACTTCATTACTTATTTTCAGTTTGAACAGTCATTGGTAGTTCTTACTTATAATTACCATTTATTTACTAATCAGTGAAACAAATAATTTCTACTAGTTACTAAATTACTGTCTTCAGTATGAGGGTTTCCCACCTCCGTGTTCTATTGAAATAGTTTACCTTAGAACGGAGATAGGATAAACCGACATATAATTGGATATAAACTTCAACCCTTTTCCAGTCTGGTGCGTTGGATAAATCTGTTTGAAACTGGATATGGTTTTTAACTCTCTTCTGATTTTGGCCAATGCTTCTTTTGAAATGGTTCTTTATCACGTTGAAACATCTTTTGTGTCCTTGACTTTAAAGCCTATTGGTATATAACATTACCCAATAAGATTTTAACTGCCCTACTTTGGAATGGCTATTCTGGGTGAAAAAGCAGTCTCTCAAAAGTAGTATTTAATTTTTGGAAGGAACTCACTAATAAATACAAGAACCACGGCAGAAGAATATCTCTAACAGCTGCAGTTCCTCCCACCAGCATGCTTCTGCTTTTGGAGTTGCAGACCTTTGGGCAACTGCAAAAATTACTTTAGTGCTGTGATAACTGTTGTGGGAATTTGCAGGCACTTTGTTCAAAACTTATCAAAAAAAGTCAGACGGTCCCAATTACCTTCACAAGGACTGTTTTCAAAGCCTTATATAAATTGAATCTGGTGTACAAGGAAGAAATTTCAGTTTTATTGGAGCTGTAGTATTTTAGAAAACTGCTTTTGTTGGTGGAGCTTTTCAGAAGTGCACATAAGCATTTATGTACACAATGAGGGGAAATTTGAAGAGCTGAGTCCTCTCTTCAGAAAATGATAGATACCAGCAAATACTTAGGCGTAGACGTACCAACTGGCCTATCAAGAACATGAGAGGGAGAACATGAGGGGAGAAAAGATTAATTTTAATTGTTATATTGGTGGTTTAGTTTCAGATAAGCACCAGTTTAAGAATGAGCAGGTGATGTACAGATTTCGCTATGATGATGGCACATACAAGCCAAGAAGTGAATTGGAAGACATCATGTCCAAGGTTTGTATTATTCTTAGTTGGAACCTTGCGATTTGCATCAGAAGAGTTTGCTCTACCTCTGAATGTCACTGACCTGTTGTATAGGAGATCTCTAATGCTGTTTATCTTTGTTGTATTAAGCTATCCATCCTAATGCCATGGGAACTGTGGTGGTTTAACTCTGGCTGGATGCCAAGTGCCCACCCAAGCCGCTCTATCACTCTCCTTCTCAACTGGACAGAGGGGAGAAAATATAACAAAAAATCTCATGGGTCGAGATAAGGACAGGGAGATTGCTCAGCAATTGCCGTCATGGGCAAAACAGACTCAGCTTGGGGAAAATTAGTTTATTACCAGTCAAAACTGAGTAGGAGAGAGGAGTAAAAACAAATCTTAAAACACCTTCCCTCCACCCCTCCCTTCTTCCCGGGCTCAACTTCACTCCTGATTTTTCTCTCCCTCCTCCCCCCGAGCGGCACAGGGGGACGGGGAGTGGGGGTTGTGGTCAGTTCATCACACGTCATCTCTGCTGCTCCTTCCTCCTCCGGGGAGGACTCCTCACACTCTTCCCCTGCTCCAGCAATGGGGTCCCTCCCACAGCAGACAGTCCTCCACCAACTTCTCCAGCGTGGGTCCTTCCCACGGGCTGCAGTTCTTCATGAACTGCTCCAGCGTGGGTCCCTCCCACGGGGT